ATAATGCATGTGTCATGATTTCCCTTATGAAAGTTGCATTTCTCCTACAGCCTTCTAATATCTCATTCCTAGAATACTCTGTGGCATCCATAATCTTAATATTTTTCTTATTTCCTCCAACAGAGGTTAGGAAAAGAAAGCATTCATTTACCATTTTATGTAGAATCTGCAAGGGTGCCACTGAAATAAGTAGATAATATAACCTGGGGTCCATCATGATGCAGCAGGGATTCATGATTCAGAAAACATCAGATCAGGTTAAAGAAATTAATAATAATAACTACAATAATCCATCCATTCGAAAGCCTGGCTGTAATTAACAATGAAAAGATGCCTTGAAGGGCAGAGGAGATGGCTCAATGGCTAAAGCCTTTGTTCTACCTCTTGGAATGGCAGAACTTTAACAAGTGAACACCCTGTGACCCTGACATTTTTGGGATTTGCTCAAATGCCTGCTTTGTAAGCAAGAGGACCCTTAACTCCCACATAAAGAGCTCAGTACAGTGCATCTGTAACCCCAGAGCTGGATGTGCAATGATGGATTTGTTCCTGAGCTCTCCAGCCAGCAAGTCTATGTGAATGCATAAACTCCAGATCATGTCTCCAGACAAAAACATGGAAAGAACTGAGAGTGGAGAGGGACTGAGGAAGATACCATATATCTCTGCTGCTTCTATCCAATCCACACACATAAATATGAAGACTTGCATACACACACAGAAACATGAACACATGAACACACACACACACACACACACACACACACACACACACTTTCCTTAAGGAATGTATGATGGAGAATATGTGTAACATACAATATAGAAATGTACAACATTTTAAAAAGTACATAAAAAGATTTCTTAAGTTGGAACTTTCTAACACAGTCAGCCTGTGAAGTGGAAGTGAAATAACACAGAAAAGAGTATAAATTAGGAAGACAAAATGACAAGAGAGTCTGGAGATAAAATCAGAATCTAGGAAGAAGGCAAAGGTTTTTATTGTGCATCTAAATGAAACATTCTTTCCAGAACTTAAAATGCTGTTGTAGGGAGGACCGCTCACCATTCCTACCTTTCAGATCCAAGCATGTTCTACATCAAAAAGAACACAGCAACTGTGTTTCATGGGAGACTTGGTAAGGAATTAGAGGCGTTTTTGCAAATCCCAAAAATGTCAGGGTCACAGGGTGTTCACTTGTTAAAGTTCTGCCATTCCAAGAGGTAGAACAAAGGGCATCAATGGTCTGAGCAAGAGCTTTGCTCTAGTGCCACATCCTTCACCGCAGGGTTGTACTTACACACAGCAGGAAAGTCGTGAGCCTCAGTTTGATGCAGTGTGTTCTGTCCAAGAACATTGGGAAGTACTTTGAGCAGCCTGTTCCTTGCCAGGCTGGTGTTTCACAGGTTCATCTGAGACTTTGTTCTCTGTTTAAGCTTTTCAGATTCTCCAAGGCACCCCTTGTCTATCCCAAGCATCTTCATGCAGCATCACACTGATAGAGTTGCCTGTTTTCATTATCAGTCTATGAACTCTTTCATGCCTGAGCCTGGGTTTGCCATCTACTGACAATAAGTATTCCTATAAGGAGTGAGTATATGTATATAATGGCACTGAAATACACCTAAGGCTGCTGCTTGTCTATGTAAGCAATGCAATTGAAACAACAGAAACGTTACCCTGCGAAAAATGATCAATATTAATTGGCAACTCCTTCTGTACACACACATTTGTATTCCTGTTGGTGGTTCCAGGATAAACAAAGCAGGCTGGAGGGAAAGTCCCCTTTCTTTGGAACAATGGCATGAGAACAATCCTGCATTTACCTTTCAAGTAAGAGACCTGCACAAATATATCCCTTCATTGTAAAAACTGGGAAATAATAGTCTCTTGTATTCAAACAGCCTGCTACTGTTTGAAGTTATTAATAGATACCAGTCATCCTTTCTTTAAAAATACATGTTAGCATATTTTTCAGCATTCACAGTTTCATTTATTTGTTGAATTTTTAAAAAATATTTATTTATTCTTTGAGAATTTAAAACATGCATACAGCAAAGTCTGATTTAAATCACAAGAAATAATACATTAGCTAAATATTAGAGAAATAGTTTTTAAAATTCTTCCCCTCAGATTTGCTATGATTATTTGTATTTTGTTTCCTATTCTTGTACTAATTTATTTTGTTGCTACATGATTCTTACAGATATCAAGTGCTCCAAAATTTTTTTGCTAAATATGTTAAACAAAACTCTGATGACTTTGATAGCCAACAGAAAGTTCAGCATTTATAAAGTCATTTGTTCAAAAACCACCACAATTTAATACCCAGTAGGCAACGTGGAGGTGGAGGACATTCTATTTATATTTACAAGGATGGAATGATTAAGTGTACAGACAGAAAACTTAAAAGCATGAGACATAATTTCACAAAGATATCAAGAGAAAGACAGGGAGAAATGGGCCTGTTGAAGAGAGATGAATAATTGTTTTCTCACCGATAGATTTCATTTTTTTATTTGTTTTCTTTAAATCTTGAAATTCACTTCACAGTAGTGACAGATATTTGTATTTTTGAAATTATGTCGCATTTTCATCAGATTTCAAAAGCTCCAAATTCGGAGTGTAGGTTTTTTTCTTTTTTCACAGTGTACCATATTTTATTTTATTTGGAAATAGATGTTTTTATTATCAGAAACAAGCTTCTTTTACATATCAATCCAAGTTCCCTCTCCCTCCTCTCCCCTCCCCCTGCGCCCCACTCCCCATCCCAGTGCTTTTCTTCCTTTAGTGTTTTTATTGATTCTTTTTGAATTTCATACAATGTATTTCGATCATGCCCTTTCCCCTCCCCAAACTCTTTCCTAAATCCTTACCTCAACAACTTCATGTTCTTTCTCTCTTTTATAAAAACCAATACCAAAACAAAACCAAAACACACACACACAAAAACATGGTGTCCTGTTAGTATTGGCCAACTACTCCAGGCCTTCTGGTCTGCCCTGGAGTATGTTTGATAAATTCAGTGTTACCCTATTGAAGGAAACTGATTTTTCCTTTCCCAGAAGATATCATTTGCAAATAGATTCTTGACTAGGGAGAGGGCATTTTGTACACTGTTCCCCTTCTTTGCTGAAATTTTATCAATTGCTTGATCTTATACAGGTCTTGTGCCTGAATGCTATCCAATGTGGATCTATGGTAATTACCATCTACTTCAAGACATTTCTCTGATGTAGGTTGAGCAATTCATTGATCTGAAGTTTTAGATGGAATGCCTAGGAAGTAATTTAATATATATTTATAGGTTTTAATGAATAGTTTCAGCAATGTCAGCTCTAGAGATGTCAATGCACCACTCTTATAGTTAGAATCAAAATCCAAGCAGGCAGCTTAGACATCTATCACAAATCCTGTTTAGAAACAAAAGCATAGTAGATATGAGAACCTGGAAATGAAAGTACAACTGATTATGAACATAAGGGAAGTAGTTATTGCCAAGGAGAATCAAACATACTTATCTGAATCTTGACCTGAGTTAAGGAGACAGACCCATCTGTTTTCTGTTTGATTGTTTTTCTTCTAGTGACAAGGCTCAGCCTTTGTCCCTTAACTTGAATCATACCTGGACGTCAATTTGGGTAAATAAAATACTGGCATACCAAATATATACCATTGGCATTTTGACTCCAAATTCCTTAGAGTTGATCAAATGTATATAATGTATGTTAATTTGTAAATTATTTGTAGTTATGTTTAGAAGTTCTAATTATAGATAAAAGTGAGCAGTCCCGGGGCTGGAGAGATGGCTCAGAAGTTAAGAGCACTGACTGCTCTTCCAGAAGTCCTGAGTTCAATTTCCAGCAACCACATGGTGGCTCACAGCAATCCATTATGAGATCTGGTGCCCTCTTCTGGTGTTCAGATATACATATAAGCAGAATGTTGTATACATAATAAATAAAATATTAAAAAAAATTGAGCAGTCCCTCCAAATGTGGGAAAAAATTGAAATGCTTCTCTGGCTTTTGGCTAAAGATAAAATGCAAAGAGTTGAGCTTGTTAAAATGAATAAAAGTGTGTGTGTGTGTGTGTGTGTGTGTGTGTGTGTGTGTGTGTGTGTGTATACATACCTACATGCTACCTGGAGGCCAGAAGTCAACCTTGGGTGTTGTTTCTCAGTATCCATTTACCATATCTTTTATTGTTACAGTAACTCTGGTACTCACTGATTCAGTGTGATTGGCTGGCCAGTGAACCTCATGCTTCCTTCTGTCTCCACCTCCCCAGTTCTGGGATGACAAGCCCGAGTTGCCACTCCTGGCTTTTTAATGTGTATTCTAGAGATCATATTCATATCACCACATGGAATAGTGAGACTTTATGGACCGAACTGTGTAACCTTCATTGTGAAACTACTTAAGATTAGAATACCTGCTTTTCCCTCTCCATATACTCCTCCTTCACACTGTCTACCTGTCTCTTTTCTCTCTCCCTTTCTCTTTCCTGATTTTTTTTTTTGGTTTTCTTGGAATGACCAATGACCTCTAAGGAAGCTCAAGTCACATAATGCAGGTAAATATTATATATACTTAAGTATCACATTTTATAATAATGGCAGTATTATTTCCTTGTTCCAGACAGATGAATGTAAATGTGAATGGCATGTTTCTTTCCTTAGTAAAACTTCAACAAATCCAGAACTCTCTTTTTATCTCCAACAACAAAAGGTGAAGGTGAGATACATGGATACATTTCTTAGATAATAGTGTTTCCATTTCAGAGGCTTCCTGTCATGGTGTCAAACAAAAACATACACAAGTTCTTGTGTTCTTAGTCCTTTACTGTTAGACTTTTAAAGGAAGTATAATGGGGGAAGTCCTTCTGTGTATATGTTTGTCTTATTGGTTGATAAATAAAGCACTGTTGGCCAATAGGAAAGCAAGATAGGTGGGGCTAGGAGTAGAGGAGGATTCTGGGAAATGTAGTAAAGATAGAGTTGCCATGTGTACTGGCAAGAAAGGAAGCATATGGCCAGTGTCCTCCATAAGGTAAGTCTTTATAAAATATATAGATTAGTAGTTGTGACTGATAATTAAGACTAACTAGCGTATAAGAAATCCTAGTCATTGGCCAGCAGCATTGTACCTAATATTAATCTCTATGTGTTTTTTTGGGTGCCCATGTGGCAGCAGGGCTTGGGCAGCTGGCGGAGAGATTTATTGTAACAGAGGTACTTTGAAATAGTCAGTAATTCATAAAATAAATAAGTGAATAAAACAAGGGACAGACATACTTTTTCTTTGCATCATTTGTCTATAGATTCCTTATTCTCTGAGATGACAATATTTTGATTTGGCAATGCTTGGCATTTAAAGTCATTAGGAGGTGACTTTTCTTTGACACAAATCCCCCCTTGGCATAGCTAATGTTAGAGTAGGTAACAAAGTATTGTAAGGGAAGGAATGGAGTTTCTGACCTGAGTAGGGATCTAACATTTTAATTAGACAGGGTCAATAGTCTGCCTAATGGATTACTGCTCAAATGAGAAGGACCAACTCTAGGAAAGCAGGTTTACCATAAGTCAGTCTAAAGATATAGGCGGAACAATTCTCCCTTTAATGGTATACTATATTTTCTTTCCCAGGATTCCTGCCCCTTATTACAGTCTGTAAACACTATGCTCTTGTTAGCTTCTAGTGATTTTGCCTATCTTTTTCTTTGGAAGCTGGCCAGAAACAAAGTGTGCTTTTACTGGTAATTTGCGCTCCCTTCTCTTCCTCTGAAGCTTCCCTCCCTGTCATGTGACTGCCTACCCCCACAGTACTGACCTCAATGCCTGCTTAACTCAAACACAATGACTCTTCATTTTCTCTTCCATTTGCCTTCTCTGAGCAGCTATTAAGTTTTATTGCTTGTCTTTTAAACTCTAGTAAAATTGTCTTTAAGCTTCCATTTGAATATGTTCTTAAATTCTTTGATTAAGGAACCTAATAACTCCAGGAAAGGACCACCCTGATTTCCCTGGTATCAGTAAATTTCAACTCTAAGTCTAAATGGGAGGAGAATTATATGCACAACAGGTTTTCCACCTTTTGGTACACATGAATTAAGCTTAGAGATATGAAAGATTTAGAATGCTTTTCATATTGCAAGTAATGGAAATCATTAACATTTAAATTCACCAACTCTCTGTAACATCTGTGAGAAGAACTATCTAGGTTGTTCTTGCGTTTACCCCTGACATGTTGTGCAGTGAAGCAAAAAGGGGAAGCGAGATGCTCACATTAGAGTAGAAAGAGACAAGCTTTAACTTTCATTCAACTTCTTCAAATTATTTCTATCTTTCTTTCTATCTTTCTGGGTATTTTTTTTGTGAGACATTGACTTTTCATTCATGCTGTACTGAGCAGCACTAAAAATACTTCAAGGAGGTGCAGATAGCCTTCAACCTCACTGTTAACTCACTGTTAATTTCTATGGAACTGACCTATTCACTCCATTAATACTGATGACAAAGTAGCTATTTTTGGTAACATTAAAAATGAAATGTACTGTAACAGTAATCCCCTGTTAGAAGAGAATAGAGCTAAGAAAGCCACTTTTTATGAAGTAAAATTGAATTCTCTTAGCTCTGTGTGGTTATTCTTTAGTTTCTCCATTTGCCCAAAGTGTGCACATCAGGGCCAAAACAAATTCTCTGCAGGTTTTCTGATTAAAAAAAAAAAGAAAATGAAAAGAGGGAAAGGAATCAAGGATATGTGGTTCAAGGATGTGTTGCTCATTTTGTGATCCACCCCTGGATTTTATTTGCCTAATTTTTATTTTATATATTTTAATCCTAAAGTTCAATGAAGATACACTTTTGTATTAAACTATATAATAGGTAATAATTTATGCACTTCATTCCCTTTAACCCTTTGTTTTCAGTGACTGCTTCTACAAATGCAACACCATTGTTGCTTATTCAGATTAAGGATTGACAGTATTTCCCAGGCAAGTTGAGAAAAATGTTTGTGATGTGCAGTCAGGAAGCAGAGAGAGAGGAAAGCTGGTGCTCCACTCATGTGTCCTTTCAATTCAGTCCAGGATCTAAGTCCATGGAGAATGCCATCTACTTGCAGAGTGTATTTTTTTTTGGCAGCTAAAACTCTCTGGAGGATTGTGAGTCAAAAGTCAATTTTAGTCTATTCATTAATTTTAGATTATATATATATATATATATATATATATATATATATGTGTGTGTG